GCACTTTTGGGGATCGGCGGGGACTCTCCACCTCTGCAGAGATGCCGGAAGAGGAAAGTCGTGACAGCCAATGACGGCATCCGGGAACGATTCACGATGGGGCTGCTTGGTCCCGTGGGCAGAGAGAGCACATGGGTATATCGTCCTGATTATGGTTCTGATGGGAAGAGCATATGACTGATAGGGGTGGTGGTTCTGACTGTTGCCTCTTCAGGCACAGTCATTGTGAGGTGCCATTTTCACCCGTTCGACAGCCAGACTGACTGAATATCTCGCCGTTGTCGTTTAGGAGTCCGACGGACGTGGAAGCGTTTATTAGAAGGTCACTGTGGCATTGTCAATGTGGCTTCTCGGGATGAGCGCTTCAGCGAGATTCCAGCACAGATTGCAGCAGTTGTGCCGGAGGGGAAAAAGGAAGATGGAGGCTGGACGGTATCAGAATGGATGAATCGAGGTGTAAGTCAACGGCAATTGTATGATTCAACCCAGAGGAGAGACCATTGCATGTATTGGATCATCCTCGCCGGACTCAGACTTGTTTCATGGCATATATCTTGCTTCTCAACATCGATTTCATGTACATCTGACACCGCTCACAATACCAGGATGAGCGCGTTATGGCCAAATTCGCACAGTTCGCAATGGCTGCCGCGGAGGAAGCCCTGAGCGATGCTCGGTGGAAGCCCACGACGCCAGAGGAACAGCATGCTACGGTATGTAAAGCCTTCCTCAGATTCAAGTGAAGGTGGCTAATATCTCTGAATAGGGAGTTTGTCTTGGTTCGGGCATTGGCAATTTCGATGAGATTTATGATACTGTCGTTGCGTACGAGCAGGGAGTGAGTCTATCTGATCTACTCTTTTGGGAAGAGAATGGATGGCTGACTCAAGTTGGACAGGGGTATAAAAAAGTCAGCCCGTTGTTCGTTCCTAAACTGTTGATCAATCTTGGTGCTGGGCATATCTCCATGCGATATGGATTCATGGTACGTCAAACTTACCAATGAACCTCACCTTTTACGCTTCCACGCAATGGTAGACACTTACGACCATTCCCCTCTTTTTACCGTCAGGGTCCGAACCATGCCGCAACAACGGCGTGTACAACAGGTGCGCATTCTATCGGCGATGCGGCCCGATTTATTGCCTGTGGTGATGCCGATGTCATGGTCGCAGGCGGCGGCGAGTCATGTATTCATCCTCTCGCAATTGGCGGATTTGCTCGCGCTCGCAGCTTAGCTACAGATTTTAATGACGACCCTGAACATGCTTCAAGACCGTTTGACGCAGATCGAAAAGGGTTTGTGGTTGGCGAAGGCGCAGCCATATTGGTCCTCGAGGTGCGTTTACACAATCTGACACTCGCAGAATTGATTAACAATTCTTTGGTGATTGGCCTCGTGCTTACACAAAAACTGACGCCGTTGCAGGAACTCGATCACGCCCGTGGTCGAGGAGCTCCCATCTACGCGGAATTGAAAGGATACGGATGCTCCGCGGATTCACACCACATCACCGCGCCAAAAGAGAACGGTGAGGGTGCTTATATGGCCATGAAAAAGGCCCTGAAGCAAGCCCAAGTCCAACCGGCGGCGGTCGACTATATCAACGCCCATGCGACATCCACTATTGTTGGCGATGCGGCCGAAAATGCAGCAATCAAAACACTTCTCCTTGGTTCGGAAGGCAAGAACCGCGCCATCGACGTGAACGTCAGTAGTACCAAGGGAGCTGTGGGACATTTGCTCGGTGGTGCTGGTGCAGTCGAGGCTTTGTTCACCGTCATGGCTATTCGTGGTGTAAGTTGATGTCCTCATCGCTCATCCCTCTATACCGTCAATCTTCATGCTGATTCAGAAGCTAGAATATGATGCCGCCTACAATCAACTTGACCCGTCTGGCAGACGGCTTTGATTGCAATTATGCACCGAATGAAGCGCAGTCAAGAAATATCGATATCGCCTTGACCAACAGCTTTGGATTTGGAGGGACGAATAGTAGTCTTTGCTTTGCTAGATTCAAGGACTGATCTCTCCCGCATATAAGATTGGGTTTAATTCTCATGTACACTAGCATTTGGCCCTTTCGTCACTTCAAACATGCTGCAAAGTGGACAGCCAGGGAATCACATTCCCATGAGCCGCCAAGGCATACGCTTCCTATCGCTTCTGCATGTCCTTACCGGGTACATTTGGTATACACTTAAGGTAGCTTGGCAGTGTTTCATCGGAGACCCAGTGGCTACGGCAGAGGGGTTAAGCTCATTCAGAATAAAGGCCTGCCCGCCTGGCACCCTGCTAGTGCTTTCTTTGAGTTGCGTCTAGTGGTCTCCCCGACATTCTTTACTTTGCATATAGCTCGAATTCAGACTTCATTCTCACTCTTGGATTATTCAAGTGAGTCAGTGCAAATTATGTATAAATATCAGCAAAGAATCACTGTCATGGCCTCTGAATGAGACGGGCTGTCGTGCCTTGGTGGAATGTCCCTACTTTCCATCCCATTCATATAAGCACGTGACTCGCGCCCCCGATGCGGAGCCCCGTCCCTTCCAATATCGAGACTCAACGGGACTACAATACCCCATTCATCATATTTCTCTTTTTATCAACTTGCTCGTTACGCTCGTTGCAGGGACTGCATACTTATCTCAAGGGGATAGCAACACATTGTGCGCCCGCCATGGCGACCAACGGTAGTGCTGGCCGAGGTAAGCTCATGGCTCTTATTCTCGTACTGGGCCAGGAATCCGCGACCGGCGGTCCCACGCGCGCGTGTGGTCACCGGCGCCGAATGGCAATCTAATATCACTGTTATCTCTACAGGGAAGATGCTAATGATCGTTCTTGTTTTCGTCTCATCTAGCATACGGCAGCCTGGTTGATGCGTCTGGCTATAAATTCAGCGATAAAGATACTAAACCCGGCAAGATGAAAGTTAGGAAAACGGCCAAAGCCTCGACCAAGAAGAAAGCCGATGGTACGACATGCACATCTCCTCCACCCTGATACCTACGTGTGATCCGATCCTTACAAGTGGGATGTCCGGGCTTTAGATACTAAAGACGGTCCGGCCGATTCTTCACCTACCTCCTCACCACTCCCCAAATTGGACGGCAAGGTCGCCGCCTCGTTTCCAACGGGTAAACCTCGAGAGGAGGATCTTCTCGAAACGGTCATCTGCAAGCACTGCAAGCGTCCGATCTTGAAAGCTACCGCGACAGAGCATATCCGAGGTTGTCTGAAAGCCAAGCAAGAAAAGGCCCGCCGAAAGAAAGAAGCCCGCGACGCCGCCAACCGCGCCAAAAACGGGGAGGACGACGATCTTCGAGACAGACTTGATGGCGATGATTCGCTCACGGGCCAGAAAGGTGCGAAGAAGAGCGCCGCAAAGGGCATGATGGATGACACGAAGAAGGGCAAGAAGCGCAAAGCCGACGAGGATGACAAGGAACCCAAGAAGAAGAAGAAAAAGGACGAGCCCAAGGCGAAGACCGCCAAGCCCAAGGGTCCCGTGGATGTCGAGAAGCAGTGTGGTGTGACACTTCCGAATGGGGCTCAATGTGCGCGCTCCTTGACTTGTAAGAGTCATTCTATGGGTGCTAAGCGAGCTGTGCCTGGGCGGTCGCTGCCATATGATATGCTGTTGCAGCAGTATCAGAAAAAGAACCAGGCCAAGCAGCAAAGTAAGTCATTATTTTGCAGGAGTTCAACCTGAACTCTATGCGCAGTCTGACTCATGCTTATTTTTTTTTCTTTCTTTTTCAGGAGCCGCGATCGATGCAAACGCCCCTCTACCAGACGATGTCGAGACCAATGGACCGGTGGACTCGGACGAAGAACGCGATCTGGTCATGGCGTCTATCGCCCGTTCTGCACCCAAGCCACTCGTCGAACATACGCTTATCCGCACAAAATCAAAATATCGAATCGTCCGTATCAAGGAGCAGATGCTTCATGCGATGGGCGGTCGAAGCGGCAATGGACTCTTTTCGACCGGCGAAAGCCAACCACTTTTTGGTGGAAATCTCTTTCAACCCATGAACTTGGATGTGGACAAGACCACATCGCCCGTTTTGCCAGCTGGTGAATCGGGCGAGGCTGCTGCTAACGCAGACGGGTCTGGGACCACGCCTATACCGAGTTCTCGCAAGACTCCCGTAGCAGCGGCCTCATGAGAGAGAGAGAGAGGGGCCGGGGCGATAGAGAGACCGTGTATGTGCTTGTGTTACACGTACTCTGTACAGGTGGTCTCTCGTGATTCGGCTCTAAGCTACAAAGCCTGCATGCCTCGACGATTTTCATAATCATTCATCGGCGTTCTGCGTTGTCTGCCTTTCATCATTCATTCATACTTTTGTCTTGTCGGATATACTTGTGCCATCGCACTCGGGGAACAAGGTTTTGCATCACTGGCGTTGCGGGTACACTTTCTCGGCTGACTACTAGGTCTTCCTTTGTTCCTTGACATTCCACGGTCTTTTGCTGGCATTGTGAGGTCAGGTTAAGTCCATTTTCCAAAGTTTGTCCACTGTGTCGCAGGGATCGGCGACTTGTGTTTGTTTCTATTGTTTTTTTGTTTTCATGACGAGATACCCCACAGTCCTACTACAAATGCTATTCTACCTAGCCATAACTACCGCTTCGCATTCGCTTGTGACGCATTCCGCTTAACGTGGAACACCTACAATACGACATTGTTGTTTATATCCTAGATCGTTCCTTCGTTGAATTCTCATAATTAGTAGGTTCATTCCAATGTTGATGATTCTTCGCTGAGTCGGTAATACTTCTGGGTATCTCCAACTCTTACTCGAGCCGTGTGATCTTGCATGAAATTGCAAGTTCAAGGATTCGCTTTGATCAGGCACGACTCCCTTCCAGTTCCCATACGGGGCCTACCATTATCATGAGATCAGACTGTGCCCATGTTACCTTCTTTATCCAGGCATTGAGTAAGCTGCTTCATGATATCAAATCCACCCTACAATCATATCTTCCAGCTCGCTTAGCTCAGTTGGTAGAGCGCGTGACTAGTAATCACGAGGTCGCTAGTTCAAATCTGGCAGTGAGCAGGGCTTGTTTCTTTTTGGCTTTTTGGATTCTTCCAATTTCGTTCAATTGTGGGGTTCATCCTCAAGTTCTCATTACCTACTTCCTGAAGGTGGGTAACTTACCGCGGCTAAGTTGTTTGTTGCGGTAGGGGATGTTAAGCCACGAGCTGCCCGGGGGAGGCTCATATCTACATGGGTACCACTACCTTGTCGAATCGCGATGCGAGTGGGTGTGTTTTTTTTTTTTTTTTTTTCTTTCATTATTGCGTTTTTGAACTGTATCATATGCTTTGTTCTGCTGGATGGATATGTATGTTTATAGAAATGGCTAAGTGGGCGGTGTACATCCATTGCAATTCTATTTATCAGTCGTGTCCATGGGCGGGTAAGGTACCGATCTATATATTTCAGTAGGTAGCATTCCCAGTCTCCGCATGGAACCAAGTAGGTCGATCCCATCAGATTGAGCCGGAGATTAAAAGGGAGGTTAACGGGCACAGTTATCACTACAATCTGAGATCACAGTAATGTCGCCGAGCGTCATCCAAGGACAAAAGTTGCAGTGGCTCGCAACGTCAATTATGCGTATGAGATACCTTATCAATTTTGCAGCGGAAACCTTGACTCGGAATTCCTCTGAATTCCATGCAATTGACACCAAAAGGCGACATACTGCGGTATTGCAGACTGGACCCAGCTACATGTGCGTACAGACGGACCTTCACTCGCCTCCATCCTTGTTTCGCGTGAGCATAGCAGACTACTTCGAGGGAAGCCGCAATTCGGTAGACACAACAGAAAGTACACGACCTGATAGGTGGCACAAAGGAGCTATTCAGACCATACACTGTATGCTTACAATGGATTGATATCGCGTGCCGTGTAGACTTTGCCGGTTCTCCTAGGCGGATCTGCATCAGATGGGTAATTGAAAGGTACCCATAAAATTATATGACGAGAATGTCTTCGCTTATTCTCGTCATGTCAAGTTTGGAGACAAATGTAGATAGGAATTGTAGTAAAATTAAAAAGAAACAAGCTCTGCTCACTGCCAGATTTGAACTAGCGACCTCGTGATTACTAGTCACGCGCTCTACCAACTGAGCTAAGCGAGCTGGAAGATGTATCACTGAGTGGAATTTTGTAATACAAACCATTTCCACAGCCTACATACACACTACAGAACAGAAAATCCACATAATCCACATTGTTGCATGGTGTACAGGATTTCGAGAAAAATATAGCAACAACCCACCTATACTATTCATTCTCCTTCGTCGGCTTCGTATGTACTCGGGCATATGAGTAAAAACTAAAAATTAACAAGCTCTGCTCACTGCCAGATTTGAACTAGCGACCTCGTGATTACTAGTCACGCGCTCTACCAACTGAGCTAAGCGAGCTGGTTCATATAATCGTTTTGAGTGTATGGCTATATGATCCACACAGCATGACTCTTCGGGAAACCAACACTTCAACATGCTGTGTTCCTGTATCATAGTGAGGCGCATCCACGAAAGCTGATGGCAAAATATCAGCTGAACGTAACTCATATGTTCAGATTGATATGTACGGATGTCTCAACATATTCCCCGTCCAGAACGCCTCGAGCTGTCGTGCTTCATTCCACATGGAGAGACAAACCTTATCGTCATGTGACCCTATCAAAGCACCCGATACCATGACCCTGGGAGCTTCTGGATGCTCCGAGCTCCCTCACCTTTCAAAGACACATTTTCACGTCCTAGCCCACTGCTTCATGAAAAGCTCCGTGGAGCGGCGTGCGCTCGCAAATTAGAACGACTGCGCGTCGCAATTCCCAATATCTTGATCAAGCACGAACAACTCCTACTCGGCTACCCCATCAACAAGTTTCGCGATTAACGACCACTTCCAAGTTCAAGTCATTAACTGTCTTCAATCGCGCTCGATCTCTATATCTTTATAACCTCTTACCCTGACAACAATGAGCCACGCTGTCCCAGATCTTGATGCTATCGGCGTCAAGGCTGAGGCCGACCTCGCCGAATCATTCCGTCGCGAAGTTGCCAATCTTCTCGGCCGCAACAACCTCAACTTCCCTGGCGCGCAACCAGTCAGTTTCTCGGCCAAGCACCTCGTCGAGCTACAAAAAGAAGACTACTTCGTTTGCGAAAAGACAGACGGCATCCGTTGCTTAATGTACTTTGCGCGTGGAGAGAGTCCCGAGGTGCCGGAGATCCATTACCTTATCGATCGCAAGAACGACTACCGTTATGTGCCAGGCCTACATTTTCCTCTCCCAGATGACGAGACATTTCAGTCGTTCCATGTAGACACACTGATCGATGGCGAGTTGGTGAATGACACGTACGAGGACGGCACCACACAACTGAAGTATCTCGTTTTCGATTGTCTGGTCCTCGATGGACAAAGCTTGATGCATCGCACACTCGACAAGCGCCTCGCATATTTCAAGGAGAAGGTCTTGAAACCATACAATGCCATGTATCGGAAATTTCCACAAGAGAAGGAACATCGTGCATTTGCCGTGGAGGACAAATCAACACAATTCAGTTACGGAATTGAAATGATGTTCCGCGATATCATCCCGAAAGTGAAGCGTATTCATGGTAACGATGGTCTCATTTTCACATGCCGCAGTACGCCCTACCGAATCGGTACGGACGAGCATATTTTGAAATGGAAGCCTCCTGCGGAAAACACCATTGATTTCCGAATGCGCCTGGAATTCCCAGTCTTGGAGCCGGACACCGATGACGAAGCCGACGGTATCACTGAACCATACCCTGACTACGATGCGATCCCAATTTGCCATCTATTTACGATGCTCAACAGCAACGAGTATCGGCATTTCGGCGAGATGTATGTCACTCCAGGGGAATGGGAGAATTTAAAAGCAATGCAGGTCCCGCTCGACGACTCCATTGTCGAATGCTATAAGGATCCAGAGCAGCGCTGGCGATTCTACCGGGTGAGAGATGACAAGGCAGATGCGAATCACATTTCTACCGTGGAAAAGGTCCTCGAAAGTATCGAGGATCGGGTCACCGAGGAGGATCTCATTCGAATTGCACCCGCTATCAAGTCAGCCTGGAAGAAACGACAGGCCGAGGGAAAGCCTCGAAGTGCAGGACCCCCTGTCGGAACAAACGGTGTGAAGCGGAAGTATGAGGAATGATCGGTCAAATGGTGCAATTTCATTTTCCTTTTTGCTTGCATGTCACGAGGTGTTTGGGAGTTTTTATCGTGCTCTCTATCATGAGGTTTCTTTTTTTTTTTCAAAGCAATATTTGCAAGGCCGCATAGGCATGGGATGGTGGAGACTGGAAAGTCATCTGGCATTTTTTCCCCTCAAAATTCAATTCACGGTCATATCATGGTAGTTATCAATTGGCCACAAACTTTCAGTTATTCAAAATCTCGCGGACTGCTCATGAACATTGATGCGACTGCCTCATCAATGCGACATTTATAGTACTCACGCCAATCATCACACGCTGACAATCGTGTGGTCTGATTTTCATTCTCAAGTCAGCGCAGTAACACATCGACTAATGTAGAGGTTCGTTCCTCGTTGACCGTCAATTCTGACATCGTTCAGCCATTCACACGGAAAGGCACAGTAGTATCGTAACAAGCTCCATCTAAGTATCTCCCAGTGATATTCTTCGCAGGAACTTCTTTCCCAAACTCAACAATAAGACCGCCGTCCGGGCTGTTTGGATCGAAAAGTGGCCAACCAACTGTTTCTGGAACGGTGGGGGGATTCTTGATGAATGCGAGCATATAATCTTGCATGGTCTCTGATGTCTCAATCTCCAGTTGCGAAATCTCTCCGACGTCTTTCACGTATGTTCCGAATATCATCAGCAGATCCGAGAAGTGATACGCTCCTAGCCACGGCACTGGGCTGATGTTTGTGAAATTGCCTATTCAAGAGTCAGAATACTTCCTCTCAATGAATGGAATCTCTTGTGTTTGGAAGAAATCGCCTAGAGCTTACCCCCCCAGAAGTAGCGGAAAGTATCAATACCCAGTGAGAACCTCTCTTTGGTGTCCAGAGCTGCGAGGCAGTCCCATTGTCGAGCCTCTGCCTGCGAATCTGTAATGTTGTTGTCTACTGACATCTCGCGTGCTGCAAAGGAGCGTATGGCTGGACCCTTGGCCACCTTGCCTGCTCGGTAGCGGAGACTCTCGTTAGAGAAAATGTATCTTTCGTCGGCTGCAGGAGATGAAAGTCAGTCTCAGCTAAAGTGTCTAAAACCAAATTAGTGGGGTGGACGTGTCACGCACGAACGTATTGCATAAATGAGATTCTGGGTTCGCCTTTGTAGCGGTTGACGAATTCCTCAATTTGAACCCATGAACGTGTGCGCATGCAATTTAGCTCCGCAACGGCATCGTCCCCGTAATTGCAGCCCAAAGACTTGGCTACAATATCAAAGTCCAAGTATGGGTCTGTCACTTTTGTCGTGTCCAAAGTGGTGCCAGGTTGTTGAGAGATGATTCCGTAACTGGCAACTAAGGGATCATCTGGAAAAGCGAGTGTGTATAGATGGGTCAGCGCGCCACCTTGCGATTGCCCCCAAAGCTGCAAGATAGAGTATCAGCAGATGAAAAATGTGAAGCATAGAGCTATCGATGATTAGAAGGGAAGAAATTCCGTGCTCACTGACAAAAATGTTCTGCGGATCTCCGCCAAAAGCCTCAATGTTTTCGTGGACCCATTCAACCGCTGCCCTGACATCCAGCAGGCTGAGAGAGGTCTCGTTGAGGGCTCTTGATCTGGGATCTGCAACGGGCACATTGAAGTCAGTGCTCAACTCAGTTTATCAGGAATGCTTATTCAAGGTGAACCTACTTCCGAAGATGTTCACTCGGTAGTTCATGGTAATTGCAATGTGTTCCTGAGATCGCGACACCCACTGCACTGGTATATGAGCCGGAATGGGAACACCACCTTCTATACCGGCTCCACCCGTGAGGAAAAGCGTGACTGGAAGTTTCGAAGATTTGTC